CCTGGGCCTGGGAAAGCCGGTCCTTGCGGGGCCCGCGTGGTTGCCTCGGGGGTATTCCGCCTGGCGCTCGCGAAGGACTCGCAGCCGCTTGGATTGAAACAGTGGAAGGTGCTGCAAGGTGGTGCTGACACAACAGGTTGAGGTCCGAGGGGGCCACAGAGCCCCCATTCCGAAGGAGCTCCATGAAGGCAGAGCAGATCGCTGGAGCCTCCCCGGATCACACAGGCCCCTTCGCGCCATTAGGGCTTTTCAGCAGACACGATCGGCAGTCACCTTGAGGCTACCCTGGCCGAGTTTGCACAATCCACTGGACCTGGTTCGTGAAGGGAACCGTCTGGTTCACTCATTATGCTGAACCATCAATTAACCAGCCAGGCTGGGTCCATGCCGTGCAGGACAGCACCCCAAAGAACCCCAGTTAAGGCCAGCCGGATGTTACGCCACTTGGACCGGTGGGCTGCCCTGCATGGGCCCAGCTGCTTGGGGGACGCACTGATCCACCATCCCAAGGGCTTTGCGCTGCCCGGCCTCCTCCTCTCCGGCTCTCACCAACCGGGTCTTTCTTCTCTGCAGGCTCCCCAGTCACCAAACCCGAGATTGTTCCCCAGGAAGGGGGCCTGTTACCAGTGAAGGCCCAGGGGGCCAGGGAGCTGCAGCAGGCGCCTGATGCAGGTCAGGGGATGGGTGGACGCCCCGCAGAAAACCGCCTGGGTGGCCAAGACCCCAGAGCCAGTGCTGGGGGGGACGTGGTTGGCAGCTGGTGGAGGGGAGTGGGGGGACGGACAGGGCTGTTGAGCTGCCTGCTCGGGGCACGGCTCCCCCAGCTGAGTGGGGAAGAGACTCCAGGGTGGCTCGGACTTTGCATCAAGCAGAGCAAAGAGCAAGTGGCTGGGTCGGTCTGCTGCTGCGGGGGGTCCCAGGAGTCATTTTACTCCCCTGCTGCCTGGGTGCAAGGCGCAGTAGACGCCCGGAGGCATCCAGCCTAGCACAGCGCATTCATGTTTCTTGCCTCCCGGGCAGGTTCCGGCCCTCCAGGCATTGAGCTGGCCGTCAAGGGTGAGCAGCGGCTACAGGCGGCAGCGGTCGGACCAAATGGGCCCGGAGAGCCAAAGGACCCAGCCAGGAGCTGCCCAGGTAAGGAGGCTGAGCAGGAGTCAAACGTGGGAGTGCAGGACCCACGCCGTTGGGGGCGGGGGGTGGCTCTCAACGCTGCCACTTCAGCTCGCTGCCACTTCAGCTCGGTCCTGATCAATGCTCAGCTTCTCGATCCTGCTTAAGAGTGCCTCTGAGTTTATGCAGAGTGCATGTATCTCATCATTGTGGTTCCAGAAAGGCTGGGTCCTCAATTTGAAAATGAAGTACTGGAGAAGGGTGGCCCTGGCCTCTTCCTTTTCTGAACTGCTCTTCCATTGCCCAACCTGGCCACAAATTGTTTCTTCTGCCCCGGCTGGAGGAGGGCCCCCCACCCCCCAATCTCTGGGGCAGCAGCTGCCACTTCTGGAAGCTGCTGAACTCTGCTTCGCGACCGGCTGAATGCCGGGGGCCTCTGTGTGAATTTATTTGCTAGAGCTGCTCCTGGCCAGTGGGGGCCTCTTCCTTTCATCCCCCAACCCTCACCCTGTGAAGTAGGCTGGGCTGAGCCGTTTCCGGGGGTGAGGGGAGTCTTGACCCCGAGTCCCCCCCATCCCTGTCCACTCAGCCGAAGGGATCCGCTCGTGGGGCTGACTTTGCTGCCTCCCTGCTGCTTGCCTTCATGCCGTCTGACCTCCTTCCTTCAACCCCGTCTGCAGGCGAGTGGCTCATCCGGACGGGGAAGGTGGAAGCAGAAGACTATTCGGAGTGGCCGGCCGGTCTGAGCACGGAGGCGCTGTTCACGGGGCTGCCGCTGGCAAGCGCCTGCAAGTCGGAGGACAGGGTCCTGGGCCCAGAGTACAAGGACGGGGGCGGCCTGGGCGAGCTGCCCGGCCTGGCCCTTCAGCAGTGGCAGATGCTGAGCGAGGACAAGCCGCCGGGCTGTCCCCGCTGCGAGCATCCGGCCGCCCCGCTCGGA